CTAACCATTCTCTATTAAAATTTAATTTTTATTTTTCTGTTTCTTTAGTGTTAAACGGAAAATTCACCGATAAATACAACTTTCACACAATTCAATCATTACAAATTCTAATAAGAGAAAAACTTCTCCCAATTAATTTTGCCTTTCAAAACAGTACACTTAAAACAATTTTGCTAAGTGAAGCTAACCGACAATTCCGCAGTGTATTCATATTAATTTTTTTAAAAAAAATAACATTCAGAAATGCTGTATTTAATTTTTTGAGTATAAAAAAATAATGCCTGCTGTGGAGAAGACAGAGAATGAGATGTGATGTATGGTTTTGAAAGAATGTTTTCGTACATGTAGAGTATTTTTGAAAATTTAAATATCGCCAAAGCTGATCATATGATTGTAAATGAGTCTTATTTTAGAATGTGAGCTGAAGGGTATCAAAATAAATCATTTTACTTTTAAATAGCCAAGGAGTTTATACTCAATATCCTCTTCATAAAATTACTTACAACTTTTATTCAAATTGTAAAGAAACTGAAATATAAATATCTGACTTACTCCAGTCAAAAATATTCATATTACGTGAAAATACTGTTCCTTCACTTATTTAAGTACATTTATAAGCTATAGCCCAAAGCAATATTTTATTTTTATAAACGAGGCACAAAAATTCAGTTATAAAAATATATTTTTCATTTTAGAACATATAAACCGTACACGGATTGTAAGACCATTTCTAAAATACTATGAGTTTTTAGAGGAACAAAAACATATAATTTTGGGTAGTTCAAAATTTTAATATAATACGCAAATATATATATTATTAAGCAAATACGTTTGACAAGAAAAAAGTAATTTATTTAAATCTTGTATTGCATGAATAAAATAAATCAAAGATCCTCCTGAAATAAACACAATTGAAGGGAAAATGTTTAATTTGCAATCGATAGCATATAAACGTTTCTGTTAGAGGTATCCCCGAAGTGACGCAATCCTATTCGGTAAAAAATAAAACTTATTGCTGGAATCATACAATTTCCTAATGAATGGGTGAATCCGAATATTTTTTTCATGTAAACTGTTTGGACGGAAATGGCTAAATAGGAACATTTAATAATTTGCATAAATTAAAATTAACCGTTATAGTTTATATAATTTCTTAAGATTACAAAAGGTGTATTTCGGAAGCACAAGTTTTAATAGGAGTACGGCTTACGAAAAGTAGAACAAATATATCTGAAGGACTATGGTTTGTTACCTTAAATATTGTGAAACACAACAAAGTATATTGGAAATCAATTCCCCAATTCGTGTTAATAAAAATGTATGAAAAAACTGCAAGACTTATTTTTGTATTTGTAATTATTATAATTTTTCCTGAAAACTGCAATTTCTTGTGCGGCACCCGTCAAAACCGCTGGGCCCTCACTTTTTGCCCAGCTCACCCCTACCTAAACCAGCTCTGCTCTAGCAAGTGAAAATGCCGTCTTCTGTTTATCAAGGTTATGTATTGCAGACTGCATCATGTATGTTAGATGTTCGTTTTTTTCTTCTACGTCAATCTGTTAAAATCTGAATTTAAAATTATATGAAATTCTTAACATTCGCAACAATGCCCTTTATAATTTTTTTAATAGTACATGAATGCGTCTTCAAACATTACATTACATTTATGTTGACTTTTTAATTAATATTAAGTATAACTTAACGCAGAGATTTTCTGAATTTTAAAATAGATAGTTCAAAAACTCTTGTAGATATGATCATAATTTTTCATTCCTGTGTTTTAGCTTCTCAGTATTGCTTCTACTTAAAAATTTATTGTATATTCATCAAATTTTTCAGCATAATTTTTGCTCTTAACATACAGTTTTAACCGAATTGCATGAAATTTACGAAATGCATTAAAATGCTTAAGATTCTTATGTTAAAATTTTAATTTAATATATTTTATTCGAAGAATTGTTAATATTTATGGTAAATATTTTTTAACTGAGTATATGCACGATACATAAATATTTTTTTCTGAAATTTCAAATACAATTTCTAATATAAAATTCCTAGTTTTGTATGAAAATCTGGATATTTTCTGAATGTTAAATTATAATAGATATCCAGATTTTAATTACTTGTTCTTCAGTTAGCTTTAAAAAAAATAAATATTTAGAAATTTTGCATAAACAAATATGTTTAAAAAAATTTATAAATTGATCTTTATATTTATTTATATGCGTAAATGTCAACTGTAAATGTATCCGAATATTTTTAATTATTACTATTTATTCAAATATTCAAGGTTAAAAATATGAATTGGTATAAGAAACCCTCATTCATGTTTTCTCTGGAGTAAACTGAAACTCAAGCATTTTTTTAATTCAAATATAATTTGGTGTATTGTAACAATACGTGCCCTGAACATCTGGCTTTAAAATTAAAAATAAATAAATAATGGATCTGAATTAGTTTTTCCATTATTATTTTTATGAAAGCGTAAGAATTTTTTACAAATAGTTTGATGCAAAAGTTTAAAAATTATTCATTTTTAGTAGTTGGAAAGCTTAAAAGGTTTTAAATTTTGAAGCGTTCGGTTTCTTATTAACTTTTTTGACACCTTATAATGAAATAATTATGGTTTAAAAACTCAAAACATTGGTTAAGAGAAGAAAAATGAAGCAATTAAATATAATTCTAGATATTATATAAAGATTTATATATTTTAAAAACTTAATTTTCCGTTTCATCATTTTAAGATGAAGAAAATAATACGAGTTAATCAAGCAAAGAGAATATACTTAAAAAGTTATTTGTCCAACTATGTAAAATAGCAGATTACAGTCCCAACTTATTAAAACTTCAAATTAATATAAAATCAAAAGAGAGTTATATAATATTTTATTTATACATTGGAACATTTTTCAAAACTTGAAGGAAAAAAGTTAAATTGCTAAAAGTACAAAAAGAATTTATTTAATTCAAATGCAATAATATCTCAAATGAAGCTAAATTACAAACACTAACTTATAGTTAGTTCGTTCACTAAGGAATCTAAAGAAATTCATCCCAACTTTTTTACGATTGCTTCAGGGTCAAAACGCAGGGTTTCCCGAGAGCCATAAAACTTCCTGTCATGACCATTGTATCGTCGCAACCCTCCCTAATTATCTTTCATGGTGTTAAACCATTTAAAGAGGGGAAAGGATTTCAGAAAAACACGGCCTACCCGCTTTTGAAGCACTCACTAGAAGTCAGAAAAAGACGTGTGATGCGTTTTCGAAGCATCTTTAGACGAGCGGAAAAAGACGTTCAAACTGCTAAGAGGGTTAAGATAGAACAACTATTCAAATTTGTTAAAAAAAATTCGCTGTCAGAAGTGGGATTCGAACCACGCCCACAGAAAAGGACTGCGAACTGAACGCAGCGCCTTAGACCGCTCGGCCATCCTGACACGTTGGGAAGCGATCACACGCATTTGAGATAGAACAAATATTCAAAGTAGGTAGAAAAAATTCGCTGTCAGAAGTAGGATTCGAACCCACGCCCACAGAAGTGGACTGCGACCTGAACGCAGCGCCTGAGACCGCTCGGCCATCCTGACACGTTGGGAAGCGATCTCTCGCATTTAAGATCGAACAACTATTCAAAGTAGGTAGAAAAAATTCGCTGTCAGAAGTGGGATTCGAACCCACGCTCACAGAAATGGACTGCGACCTGAACGCAGCGCCTTAGACCGCTCGGCCATCCTGACACGTTGGGAAGCGATCACTCGCATTTAAGATAGAACAACTATTCAAAGTAGGTAGAAAAAATTCTCTGTCAGAAGTGGGATTCGAACCCACGCCCACAGAAGTGGACTGCGACCTGAACGCAGCGCCTTAGACCGCTCGGCCATCCTGACACGTTTGGAAGCGATCACTCGCATTTGAGATAGAACAACTATTCAAATTAGGTGGAAACAATTCGCTGTCAGAAGTGGGATTCGAACCCACGCCCACAGAAGTGGACTGCGACCTGAACGCAGCGCCTTAGACCGCTCGGACATCCTGACACGTTGGGAAGCGATCACTCGCATTTGAGATAGAACAACTATTCATAGGCAGAAAAAATTCGCTGTCAGAAGCGGGATTCGAACCCACGCCCAAAGAAGTGGACTGCGACCTGAACGCAGCGCCTTAGACCGCTCGGCCATCCTGACACGTTGGGAAGCGATCACCCGCATTTAAGAAAGAACATCTATTTAAAGTAGAAGAAAAAATACTAGCTGTCAGAAGTGGGATTCGAACCCACTTCGAAAGAAGTGGGCGGCGACCTTAATGCATAGCCTTAGACCGCTCAGCCATCCTGACACGTTGGGTAGCGATCACTCGCATTTGAAATAGAACTACTATTCAAAGTAGGTAGAAGACATTCGCTTTCCAAAGTGGGATTCGAACCCACGCCCACAGATGTGGACTGCGACTTGAACGCAGCGCCTTAGACCGCTCGGCCATCCTGACACGGTGGAAAGCGATCACCCGCATTTAAGTTCGAACAACTATTCAAAGTATGCAGAAAAAATTCTCTGTCAGAAGTGGGATTCGAACCCACGCACACAGAAGTGGACTGCGACCTGAACGTAGCGCCTTAGACCGCTCGGCCATCCTGACACGTTTGGCAGCGATCACTCGCATTTAAAATAGAACAACTATTCAAATTAGGTGGAAACAATTCGCTGTCAGAAGTGGGATTCGAACCCACGCCCACAGAAGTGGACTGCGACATGAACGCAGCGCCTTAGACCGCTCGGCCATCCTGACACGTTGGGAAGCGATCACACGCATTTGAGATAGAACAACTATTCATAGGTAGAAAGAATTCGCTGTCAGAAGCGGGATTCGAACCCACGCCCAAAGAAGTGGACTGCGACCTGAATGGAGCGCCTTAGACCGCTCGGCCATCCTGGCACGTTGGGAAGCGATCACCCGCATTTAAGGAAGAACAACTATTTAAAGTAGATAGAAAAAACTAGATGTCAGAAGTGGGATTCGAACCCACTTCGAAAGAAGTGGGCGGCGACCTTAATGCATAGCCTTAGACCGCTCAGCCATCCTGACACGTTGGGTAGCGATCACTCGCATTTGAAATAGAACTACTATTCAAAGTAGGTAGAAGACATTCGCTTTCCAAAGTGGGATTGGAACCCACGCCCACAGAAGTGCACTGCGACATGAACGCAGCGCCTTAGAACGCTCGGCCATCCTGACACGTTGGGAAGCGATCACTCGCATTTAAGATATAAAAACTATTCATAGGTAGAAGAAATGGGCTGTCAGAAGTGGGATTCGAACCCCGACCACAGAAGTGGACTGGGACCTGATCGCAGCGCCTTAGACCGCTCGACCATCCTAACACGTTGGGAAGCGATCACTCGCATTTAAGGAAGAACATCTATTTAAAGTAGATAGAAAAAAAACTAGCTGTCAGAAGTGGGATTCGAACCCACGCCCATAGAAGAGACTGCGACCTGAACACAGCGCCTTAGACGTTGGTAAGCGATCACTCGCATTTAAGATCGAACAACTATTCAAAGTAGGTAGAAAAATTTCGCTGTCAGAAGTGGGATTCGAAAGAAGTGGGCTGCGACCTTAATGCATAGCCTTAGACCGCTCAGCCATCCTGACACGTTGGGTAGCGATCACTCGCATTTGAAATAGAACTACTATTCAAAGTAGGTAGAAGACATTCGCTTTCAAAGTGGGATTGGAACCCACGCCCACAGAAGTGGACTGCGACCTGAACGCAGCGCCTTAGACCGCTCGGCCATCCTGACACGTTGGGAAGCGATCACTCGCATTTGAGATAGAACAACTGTTCAAAGTAGGTAGAAAAGATTCGCTTTCCGAAGTGGGATTCGAACCCACAGAAGTGGACTGCGACCTGAAACAGCGCCTTAGACCGCTCGGCCATCCTGACACGTTGGGAAGCGATCACTCGCATTTAAGATAGAACAACTATTCAAAGTAGGTAGAAAAAATTCGCTGTCAGAAGTGGGATTCGAAACCACGCCCACAGAAAGGACTGCGACCTGAACGCAGCGCCTTAGACCGCTCGGCCATCCTGACACGTTGGAAGCGATCTCTCGCATTTAAGATCGAACAACTATTCAAAGTAGGTAGAAAAAATTCGCTGTCAGAAGTGGGATTCGAACCCACGCCCACAGAAAAGGACTGCGACCTGAACGCAGCGCCTTAGACCGCTCGGCCATCCTGACACGTAGGGAAGTGATCACTCGCATTTGAGAAGAAAACTATTTAAAGTAGGTAGAAAAAAACTAGCTGTCAGAAGTGGGATTCGAACCCACGCCCACAGAAGTGGACTGCGACCTGAACGCAGCGCCTTAGACCGCTCGGCCATCCTGACACGGTGGAAGCGATCACTCGCATTTAAGGAAGAAAACTATTAAAGTAGGTAGAAAAAACTAGCTGTCAGAAGTGGGATTCGAACCCACCCCCACAGAAGTGGACTGCGACCTGAACGCAGCGCCTTAGACCGCTCGGCCATCCTGACACGTGGGAAGCGATCACTCGCATTTGAGATAGAACAACTATTAAAGTAGGTAGAAAAAATTCTTTTCAGAAGTGGGATTCGAACCCACAGAAGTGGACTGCGACCTGAACGCAGCCTTTAGACCGCTCGGCCATCCTGACACGTTGGGAAGCGAACACTCGCATTTGAGATAGAACAACTATTCAAAGTAGGTAGAAAAAATTCGCTGTCAGAAGTGGGATTCGAACGCACGCCCACAGAAGTGGCTGCGACCTTAATGCATAGCCTTAGACCGCTCAGCCATCCTGACAAGTGGGGTAGCGATCACTCGCATTTGAAATAGAACTACTATTCAAAGTAGGTAGAAGACATTCGCTTTCCAAAGTGGGATTCGAACCCACGCCACAGAAAAGGACTGCGACTTAACGCAGCGCTTAGACCGCTCGGCCATCCTGACACGTTGGGAAGCGACCACTCGCATTTAAGATCGAAAACTATTCAAAGTAGGTAGAAAAATTTCTGCTGTCAGAAGTGGGATTCGAACCACGCCCACAGAAGTGGACTGCGACCTGAACGCAGCGACTTAGACCGCTCGGCCATCCTGACACGTTGGGAAGGCGATCACTCGCATTTAAGGAAGAACAACTATTTAAAGTAGGTGAAAAAACTAGCTGTCAGAAGTGGGATTCGAACCCACGCCCACAGAAGTGGACTGCGACCTGAACGCAGCGCCTTAGACCGCTCGGCCATCCTGACACGGCTGAAAGCGATCACTCGCATTTAAAATAGAACAACATTCAAATTAGGTGGAAACAATTCGCTGTCAGAAGTGGGATTCGAACCCACGCCCACAGAAGTGCACTGCGACATGAACGCAGCGCTTTAGAACGCTCGGCATCCTGACACGTTTGGGAAGCGATCACTCGCATTTGAGATAGAACAACTATTCATAGGTAGAAAAATTCGCTGCAGAAGCGGGATTCGAACCCACGCCCAAAGAAGTGGACTGCGACCTGAATGGAGCGCCTTAGACCGCTCAG